CCTCCTCTGTTACTGGCCCCCCTGACACACAAGTTAGGCTTATGCTCAGCTTTTGACCCAGTTCGTGAGCCACACTGCCAGAGGGCAAGGCATGAGATTGGCAGCTGGGTCCATTCCCTGCTGATGGGGACTGGAGTTGCTGGTGTTTCCGAGGCCTGCGATCTCGGGTGCCGACGGGCACCTCAAGAACCTCCTGCCTGCTGAGTGCCAGCGCTTCCTGAGGTTTTCACTGTGCTACGCCTTAGGCCACGCTTGTTAAAATTTCTTTTCTGTCTCACTTTCCTTCTCGACTGGTTTAATTCGCACCAGGACCCAAGTCCTGCAAGATACTCACACCCGCTGGATGAGAACCTGATCTGCTGGGCTTTTTGCAGTCAACCCATCCTCTTTGTGGAGAATCATTCCTGTTTCCTAAACCTGTCATGAATAACAATTTCCCCAGAGTGCTAAAGCCTCTGACTCCCTCGCTTCAAAACCTCCTGGGCTTGCTTGTGTCCACTTCTCGGTCCCACCAGGACCCTTCTCAGGAAGCCTGCTCCCCACATTCCTGCGGGAGGGGGCACTGGCTCGCATCTCCATGACCGCTGATCCACGGCGAATCAGACCGGGGTGGACACCTCGCCCAACTCGGGCAATCAGATACTTTCTCCTGGGAATGTGTGAACCTCAAAGACTCCAGGTGGGCTCCACTGGGCAATACGTAGCACTGGTTAAAGGGCTGAGTAGTGTAACTACCTGTTGAGCCTGTATAACTGACATTTGCTTTAGTTTTACAGCTCTAAGTTCACACCCTTAAGAAGGCAGAGGGTGCTAGATGAGGGCTGTGCATGCCGGATTCACTGTACCACACCTGCCCCCTACTTATGCTGGGAATTGTAGAACCCTGAGTTCCGGGGCTCACTGAAGTCAACCCAGCAGACCACAAGACTAGCCAGGTGCAGAACCTGTTAGCCTTCCACACATACCAAAGGCTGAGATTAGAGAGAGGAAGACTTATCTACATCTGGGCACCCCTTCAGTAGGACTTTGGGCTGCGGATCTTCCCTGGATATTCTGATTAGAGCCCTTGTCTTCTATCTCTTAGCAAAGTAAAATCTGATTTAACCAAAAAGGGTCTGTGCCTGGTCTTCCCATCAAATCAGATTTACTACTTGTTAATGCAGAGGGTGTGTAGCACTACACAGGGAAGCAAAGAAAACCTGGAACCATTTCTCTGATTCTCCATAGGGCTCGTGATGTAGGTCAGCTCCACAGCTAGGAGGGTAGGAAAGGTGCTGGCACATGGCCAGGCCAACACCATCTTCTCTTGGATAAAGGGTGGAGGGGGCTGTGGTGGGAGCCCCAAGAGCTCTGTCATCTCCCGAGGCCCATGTAGGGGATGCTCCTGTCCCCAGGTCCCAGGCAGCCTGCTCTGGGGAAGTCTGTTTCCCAAGCCTTTGACATCATGGACAGTAAAGGCAGCAGGACTGGCTGACCTTTGAGTGTGCAGTGAAGCTGTCCAGATCCCTGAGAGAGAAACGGATTTTTGAACTCATTGGCTTTGAAGACTCCATCTGCCACCTGCCCTGGCAAGGTCAGGGTATGTTGGACACAGCCCCAAATAGGCTGCCAGATCTCTGCAGGGCTCAGGGCTCAGGGTTCAGTCCTATGCAGGCCCTCAGCCCCAGCAGTGAAGAGCTTCTGCCAGGCCAGCCCCCCTTCACACTAAATCCCAACCACCCCATATTCTCTCTCGTCACTTTTTCTTTTTCTCATTCAAACACACATGCTTATGTACACACACACACACACACACACACACACACACACACACACACACACCCACCCACATTGAGAGAATGGGAAATTAATTATTGTTTTTGTTTTAAAGCATAAATCTAAAGAAAGAGGATATAACTATAATTTATTGTTAAAGCCAAGGAAGAAAAGAGAAGGAAGAGAAAACTTAAATACGTGCATCTGTGTCCAGCAAAGTCGCAAATGATCCCGTCCCCCAGTCTGAGGTCATGGCTCACGGGGGAGTGGGGAATGGGGGATTGCCAACCTTCCTTTTATCTTCCATGACAGTCACACGAGGACACACAGCAGTTACTCAGAATGTGGGACATACATACATAATAATAATTATTACTGAGAACTTTACTGAGCATTTATTATGTGCCTGCCACTGCACCTCACATATATTAGATTGTTTACTTCTCACCACTACCCTTGTGAGACAGGTGCTGTTATGGCCACTTTACAGATGAGAAAAGGAAGAACAGCTTGTGAGTGCCAGCACAGAGACCTGAATCTAAGTCCACTGAACTCCAAAGTGAGTGCTTCTAACCTCTCCGCCTACAGCCTCCTCCGTCCTCACAGCTGTTAGCAAAGTGCAGCGGCCTCTCCAATACTGCTTTTCATCTCATCTGGTACCAGTGCCCCAATTCTGATAGTGGCACATTTATTTTTAAAAGGGAAAGTACTGCTTCCCCTCTTAGAATGGATATGGAGTCCTGGGCACTTATTTCAAAGAGACAGGAAGGCACAGGGCAGGGATGGCCTCCCTAGGTTTGCCCTTCATGGAAGGGGCACAGGCATTTCATTTCCTAAGTTCCGCTGCAACAGTTAAGAAATGACCACTGTATTTGCCAAAGTAATTCTAGCTGCTGTAACTAAAGTCTCCCAGTTTCAGTGGCTGAACCCTAAAAACATTTATTTCTCACTTATATAACTGTCAAACACAGATTTTCAAAAAGCCAAGCACTCAGGGTTCAAGGAATATCTCCCAGGTGACCAAAGTCATATAGCATCTTTTCCTTGGTAACGAAGGAAGCCTTCAAGGCCCACTGTCTATACTTCCAGTGTCATGTGCATGTGCTGTCACCTAGGACCCAGTGTGTCCTGCACCATCCAGTGTACAATGCACCTCTCCGGCAAGGTTAGGGAGAAAGAGCTGCTTGTACATCGAATCACGGCTCCCACCTCAGCCCCATGCCATATCCCTAATCCTTATCCTTTCTCATTTCCTGTGTCTTGAGAAGCATAGAGCTTTGACACTCTTGATTATAAATAAGAAAGTCAGCAGTGACTTATAAAGGTGCAAAAAGTCTATTACGACACTCTAACTGCCACTGCTAGTGACAGGCTCAGGCAATTTAATGAGCCCACAGATTCCTTTGAGAATTGCACCAGAAGCAGAAGCAATGAGGTACAGTTCAGTCAGCATCGGTCCTCCAGCTACTTCTCAGGTGGTTATAGGGCCTATGGGTCTCCCTTAGGGAATAATTTTGAGTCCAAGAAAGAAAGAGTCTTGGCTTCAATGGCCCAGGGGCAGAGGTGTCCTCAGGGACCTACAAACTTGGGGCCCTAGGCTCTCCCTGACTACCCTGAAGCTTAGAATTGGTCCTAAAGCCTGTCTTGCTCTTCTCCCTCTGGCACAATCTCCAATAAAGGAAAACTGTCCTTTTGTCCCCAGGGCAGATGTGGGGCCTCTCTGCCTCTCTACAGCTGTCTTGCACATTTACTTCAACCAGACTCACCTGACTGTTAATGGCAGCAGAAGCCACACTGGGCAAGATTCAGGTCGTGGCCTCAGGATGGATTTGCAGCAGGGCAGAGCTGTCTGCACTGGGAGAGTAAGAGAAAGTTCTTTGACTGGAACCCATGCTCCCTGGTGTCCCTGATCCCAGGAGCTCAGTTCTCTTCACTTATCAAGCGCAGGAGGGAGAAATGCTTCGTGGACAATCTCACATAAGCGCAACAAACACTGCCCTCCTTTGTGCTCTGCAGCACTGGATGCGGATGATAATGCTTATGAACGTGCTTGTTAATGACAAGTTTACATGCCACATTTTGTCTCTCTTATGGTGTGTAAGCGTTTCAAGGGAAGGGGTGGTTTCTTATTCACATCTATTTTCCATAGCTAATATGGCATTTGACCCTCAGAAATGTTACCTAGTGAATGCAATTTATTTTGGAGAGAATTAGTAAATAGATAAGAGAGTGAGTCAATGAGCAAAGATGAATGAGGGAGGAATAAATGAGAAGCAAATGACGGGAGAGTAAGTGAATGAATGTGGGTGTCAGAGGCAGAATAATGACCCATTGCCCCCAGATATCCACTCTCCTCTTTTTCCTTATAAACAAAACCCTAGGTTTTAGTTGGGCACATTTCTATCTGACAAAAAGAATACATTTCCCACACATGACCCTGTGACTTGAGACTAAGTTAGTTTTAAGTACCAGTGTTGCATGAGACATTAAGGAAAATCCTTGAAAAACGAATGTGTGTGTTTTAGTCACCTTTCTATGGCTTATAAGATATGCGATGGCTAGAGCTTAGCAACCTTATTGTACAATGAGGTGATGACTCTGCCCACCCCCCCCCCCAAAAAAAAGCCACAGTAGGTCAGTGAAACAGAAAGAGAAGACGTCTAGGTTTCTCTGTTGATCATGGAACCACTGCAATACCCTAGATTACCTTCTTTTGGACCTTTTGTATGTAAGACAAATAAATTTCCATTTCACTTATTGTTTTGTGGTCTGTTGTTTTTTGGAGTTTTAGCATATGTAGTTGAATCTGATACTAACCAGCTTGCCTGGAATTACAAGTTCATGCTAGAATCAGTCCTAGAATCCAGGCCTCTTCTCTCCCAGTCTCGAGTTCTTTCTGACACCAAGCATAAGTCACTGCATGATGGCCTGAAATGCCACACTCACTCAGATCTTGCAGATGTCCTTCAAATGTTAACCCGAAGCCATAACACAGAATCAGAGACTCCTGATCTTTCTTAAAGATAATCAACGTGAAGGATGGTCCCTGATCACTGCTCAAAACCCGCCAGGCTGGTGGGCATCATAGACTCAACCTCAGATTGAATGCAATTCCTAACAGCCCCAGGAAATGCAACCAGGAACTGCAGACCCTGGCATATTCACATTTTTGGTGGCCCCTGCATTCAACAATCGAGCATTTATTCTTCCATAAAATGGCGCAGGGGGTGGTCGTCGGGTCTTACCTCCACCAGAGAATGCCAGTGTGCGATGGGCTTCCGAGGATACGACAACATTTCACTCCAGTGGTCTCTGCCAAGCCTCTCAGCTTCGTTGCCTACTTGACACACACCGATGATCTCATTGTGACCTACACTGTGAAAATGGCCCACAATAGTTTTTTCTTAAAATTTTGGTCTGTAAGAGCAACAGTTACTCAAACTAATAGAGGAATTAGGGAAAGGGGTGGTTCTTTTCATTCCCTAATTTAAAACTACAGGCCAAGTGTAACAGCCAATAGGATTTGGAGTCCAATTTTGTACTTGCTGGCACAGAGAAGAAGAGCAGAATCTGCCCCTCACAGACCTAGGCTTTCGTAGTGTGAAAACATCACGTGGCATGGCTTAGCTTGTTCCCAAAAAACCCTAGGTTCAGAGTTTCTTTATGCATGCTAAGAATGTCACCTCTGGTTCTGGAAGTAGGATGATCTCCAGGCCTCCAAATCCATATAATAAAAAGGGGGCACCTGAAAGTTTATTGCAATAACGGCTGCTCAAATTTCTGCAAGAGGCGACCAAGTATGGATAAGGCGCAGCTCTGTATCTGGCAGCCATTGTCTTGAGCTCACAAAGGGGGAAGAGTGGAGGAGGCCCCCAGGTCTTGCTTCCTCCCTTTAGAGAACATGTTTTCTCATGCTCTTCCCTCCTGCCTTCCAAATCCAGCTTTGCTTCTTTGATTCAACTTGATTTCCCTACTGTAGAAAGATACCTAGCTCCTTTAACTGAGGGTTAATATTTCTGAAACATTCCCTGGGTTGATCCTTGCCTTGCTCACCCTCTCTTTTTTTCCTTAGCAGATTTTGGTGAGAAATTCTTTGCATAACTAGAATAACATGGTCCATCCTTTAATTCTTTGGGATCCAAACTCACAGACTTTCTTTCTTTTTCCTTCCTGCAAAGAAGAGTGATTTCTCTCCTATTTGTATATAGGGAGTAGGGAAGAGATAAGGTGGGGAAGTAGACTTGAGTTTACGCTCATTAAAATCAGTTGCATGCAGAAGCCCCATGAATTCTGCCATGGATTTTTCCAGGCCAGATTCATGAGTTTACCGAGAATTGAACTGAAGCAGAGCTCACATAATCAGATTTGTCGATGCGGGAAACTTGGCAATAGCTTAAAAATGCTGGCCTAGCTCTTCATGGTTGGTGGGCAATGTCTCCTCCTGTGGCCTTGACACTACTGGTGCTGTGTGTCATCCAGAAGAGACAGGAGGAGTCTACTGCCCAGGGTGGACTGTCACGCCCGTGGGCAGCTGACTCAACCCATGTGCTCCCTGGGTTGGAAGATGGT